AAAAAAAAAAAAAAAAAAAAAAGGAAAATAAACAGGCAAGCCCCAGACTGAAAGAAAATATTGACAAGATAGATGACTGAGAAAGAACTTATATTCAGAATACATAAAAACTCCTACAACTTAATAATTTAAAGGAAAAACAGCCCCATAAAAATAAGCAAAAAACTTGACAGACGTTTCACAAAGGAAGATATTTGAATGGCCAATAAGTTTGTGAAAAAGTGCTCAACATTACAAGGCATTAGGAAAGTGGCAAGGATGTAGAGCAACCGAAACTCTCATATTACTGGTAGGAACATAAGAGTACAACCATTTTGCAAAAGCTCTGGCAATTTCTTAGCCAGTTAAACATGCACTTACACTCTGATTTAGCAATTCCAATCCTAGTTATTTATCCAAGAGGTACAAAGACATATGTCTTTAAACCAACTTATACAAGAATGCTGCACACACCTTTATTCACAATAACAAAAAAAATTGGAAAAAAACCCCAAACCCAAATATTCATCAACAGGAGAGTGGATAAACAAATCACGATGTATTTATACAATGTAGTGCTATTCAACAATAAAAATAATCAATGCACACAGCAACATGGATTGATGTCCCAAACAAAAACAACTGAAGACAAAAGAGACATACTCTATAATTCCATTTTTATGGAGTTCTAAAACAGTCAAAACCAATCGAAGGTGAAAAACATCAAAACGATGGTTGCCTCTGGGGGTAGAGATTAACTGGGAAGGGACTCAAGGGAACTTTCCAAGGTGATGAAAATGTTCTGTATCATGATAAAAGAGGCAATTAAATGATATATCCACTTGTCAGAATCGTACAGCTAAAATGTGTGCACTTCCATGCATGTATATTTTACCTTAAAATGAAAGAACTGTTAAAAATCATCATCAGGTAGGGGAGTTCGGGGGAGTACAGTGGATGCAAGAATGGCAGGATTTGATAATTGTTGTGGCTAGGTGATGACTATACTGGCGTTAATAATACTCTCCTCCTTACGTTGTAAATGTGAATTTTTCCATAGTAGAATTTGTTAATGAAGGTGAAATAAAGAAGTTTTAAATTTTCTTTAAAGAAGAAAAAAATGAAGAGAATTAGTTGCCAGCAAGTCTTTATTAAAAGAAACACTAATGGTAGTTTTTTCAAGAAATAAAAATGAAAAAGAATCTGAAAAAGAATAGATATACATATAACTAAATCACTTTGCTGTACACCTGAAACGAACAGAACACTGTAAATCAAATATACTCCAATATAAATTTTTAAAAATAAATGAATTTCAATTAAAAAAAAGCAATAAAAATGATCCACATGGAAACGTAGATATACAAGAGAGACTGAAGAGCACCAGAAGGGATAAATATGTGGATGAACATAAATTAATGTAACTATACAGAATAATCCTAATAATGTTGTGGAATTTAAAATATATGTGGAAGATTCATCAGAATAATGAAAAGTTGACAGAGTTAAAAATATTCTAAATTAAAATATTCTAAGGTGTTAAAATTATTGGGAAGATAGGAAAAATAATTTTTTGGTAAAATGTCAAGCAGACATCTTGTAATATATGTGGTAATTTATTACAGTAGTAATAGGAAACTAATGTAGTATCCACTGATGATTTTTGCCAAAACTAATCCTTACTTTGATGGTTGCAAAATGCTGATTTTCCAACTCCAGCACTCCCTCTACATTTTCTAGTTGCCACTTGTCATTCTACTAAAGGAACAGAACTTTTTCCCCCTTTCTATATAAATAAATAAATATTATATGTATAAGTATCTATTAAATATATATTTATATGCAATATACTATATATATAAGTATATATTATATATGTATATATATTATCTTTTTATAATCAGTATGGACTCATAAATCCGTCAAATTGTCCCAGATTTGGCCCATGGGAGCCTCTTAAACTGGCTTGTTGTTGAGCCTCTTTAACTGGCTCCGATCATTTTGTGAGTGTGTGTGTCTGTGCATGTGTATTTCCCTACTTCCTAGCATAGCAAGATATTCCAGTCTTATATATTTCCTGCCCTAGCCCTAGAATGAGCCATTTCTCCAAGGAGCCCTAGACTCCTTTTAGTAGGAAATGGTATTAAAAATCAAGATCTGGGTATTAGATATCCATATTGCTACAGGGGTGTCTTTTCTTCTTGGCCTTTTCAGCAGATAGAGCTAGGAAATATATGCGTGTATAATAAACACACACACACACATATATACACACACACAAATATATATGTGTGTGAACATATACAGGTATATACACATATATATTTATATATACCTATTTTAGAAATGAGTTCACACCAGTACCTCCAGTCCCAATTCATCCCCATAGGGCTCTTCCTTGCCTTCCTCCATTCCATATTTCTACATCCCTTTTCCCCATGGTGAGAACCCTGGCTTCCAATAATATCAACACATTTACTCTTTTTTCTAAAACGTATAATAGATCCAAAACTATCTTAGAGGACTTCCCTGGTGGTGCAGTGGTTAAGAATCCACCTGACAATGCAGGGGACACGGGTTCAAGCCCTGGTCCAGGAAGATCCCACATGCCGCAGAGCAACTAAGCCTGTGCACCACAACTACCGAGCCTATGCTCTAGAGCCCGCGAGCCACAACTACTGAAGCCCGCACGCCTAGAGCCTGTGCTCCGCAACAAGAGAAGCCACCGCCATGACATGACCGCGCACTGCAACGAAGAGTAGCCCCTGCTCGCCACAACTAGAGAAAGCCCGCGAGCAGCAACGCAGCCCCCTGCCCCCCCAAAAAATTGTTTTAGAATTGATTTTCCTATAGCATTGCAAAAAAAAAGCAAACAATAAAAACGGTTCAGGATTTGTTTGTAACTCTTCCCTGCCTCCCTTCCTCACCACAGACAAAGTATCAAATACTGTATTCATAAGTAAAGTCAACTGCTTCTTTGTCCGCCCCCGCATTCAGTAGGGTTATGGTGTTCATTTGAAATGAATTGGGTTCACTGGTTTTAGTTTGATTTCAGTTTTAGAAATGTTCTCCCTGTTCATTCTTACAGATGCAATTTTAGTTTTTGAGTATGTGGAACTCTAACATACTTCCAAAAGCCAAAGTGTGCAAAATATACTCAGAGAAGTGTTACTGTCTCACTTGCTGTCTGCCCCTTACCCCTTCTAGGTTACTATGTTCATTGTTTTCTGGTTTATCCTTTCTGTGTTTCTATTTGTAGAGATATATGTATGTTTTCTTATTTTGCCTTCTTTCTTATACAAAATGTAACACACTATATATGCTCATTTGCACTTTGCTTTTTTCATTTAACAATATCTCCTGTAAATCACTCCATTATCAGTTCATAGAGATCTTCATCCTTTCTTTTTACAGTGTGTAGTATAGTATCAGAGTTTATTCAACCAATCTTTTTTTTTTTTTTTTTATGCAGTACGTGGGCCTCTCACCATTGTGGCCTCTCCCGTTGCGGAGCACAGGCTCGGGACATGCAGGCTCAGCGGCCATGGCTCACGGGCCCAGCCCCTCCGCGGCACATGGGATCGTCGCGGACCGGGGCACGAACCTGCGTCCCCTGCATCGGCAGGCGGACTCTCAACCACTGCGCCACCAGGGAAGCCCTATTCAACCAATCTTATATGCTTGGATATTTAAGTATTTGTCAATATTTTGCAATTACAAATAGTGAAGCAATGAATAATCTTGAGGGCATGTATTTTCGTATTATTGGGGTGCATTTTCAGGGTAAATTCTAAAAGCAGAATTGCTTGGTTAAGGGTACATACAAAGATAATTTTATTAAATACTGTGAAATTCCCCTCCATAAGTCTGTAATAGTTTGTATTCCTACCAGCAATATATGAGAGCCTGTTTCCTACAGCTGTGCCAACAGGGTGTAGTTTCAAGCTTTTGAACTTTTGCCAGTCTGATAAGTGAGAAATGATATCTAGGTGTATATATATATATTTTTTTTTTTTTACGGTACGCGGGCCTCTCTCACTGTTGTGGCCTCTCCCATTGCGTAGCACGGGCTCCGGACGCGCAGGCTCAGCGGCCATGGCTCACGGGCCTAGCTGCTCTGTGGCATGTGGGATCTTCCCAGACCGGGGCACGAACCCGTGTCCCCTGCATCGGCAGGCAGACTCTCAACCACTGCGCCACCAGGGAAGCCCCTAGGTGTATTTTTATTTACATTTTTCTTATGAGTGAAGTTGACCATCTTTTCATATTTTAAGCACCATTTTTTAATCTCTTTTGTTAACTGTTTGTATCATTTGAGCATTTTTTTCTTTTTTTTTTTCTTTTTGTCTGCGTTGGGTCTTCATTGCTGCGCGTGGGCTTTCTCTAGTTGCGGCGAGCCGGGGCTACTCTTCGCTGTGGTGCTCTGCCTTCTCATTGAGGTGGCTTCTCGTTGTGGATCATGGGCGCTAGGCACACGGGCTCAGTAGTTGTGGCGCATGGGCTTAGTTGCTCCGTGGCATGTGGGATCTTCCCAGACCAGGGATGGAACCTGTGTCCCCGCATTGGCAGGTGGGTTCTTAACCATTGCGCCACCAGGGAAGTCCCTGAGCATTTTTTCAATAGAATTTTAAATCTCCCCCCCAATTTTCAGAAGAGATATAGTTATATGACTGCTGTGGACTGAATTGTGCCCTCCCAGAATTCATATTGAGGCTGTAACCCCAATGTGACTGTATTTGGAAATAGGGCCTTTAGGAGGTAATTAAGGTTATATGAAGTCATAGGGATGGGGCTCTAATCCAAAAGGATTAGTGTCCTTATAAGAGGAGACACCAGAGAATAATCTCTTCTATTTCTTTCTCTCTCTCCCTGTACACGTGTACAGAGGAAAGGTCATGCGAAGACAAGTGGCCATGTGCTCTGGAAGAGAGCTTTTACCAGAAACTGAACTGTACCAGAACCTTGATCTTGGACTTTCCAGCCTCCAGAACTGTGAGGAAATTCTATTATCTAAGCCACCCAGTCTATGGTATTTTGTTATGGCAACCTAAGCAGATTAAGAGAAGGACAATAACTTTTACCTGTGTTATATTTTGCCAATATTTTCTTCCAGTTTGTCATTTGTCTTTTGACTTTCTTATGGTGGTTTTCTTTTTCCATGGAAAAGTTTTGTTTTGTTTTTCATGTTTTTTAATGTAGTCAAGAGAGAAGTATTATAATAACCTTTTCAGATAATTGTGAATATTGTTCTCTGATTCTACACCCAAACTCATTAAGTGGTAGTTTCCTAACGGTTAGTAGTTATGTAGAATATTAAAACATATCACTGGACTTTTCATACTCTGTGACATTAAATCCATTGGTTTTTCTTTCACTTTGAATGAATTTCTTTTTAACCAGTGCATGATGTTGTAACATCATGCATTTGGACAATATAAGTTCACTAAGTTATACTATCTTATATATTACTAAGATATTTAAGATCTTTCTAAATGTCGACAGATTTTTATTATATAACATCAAAAAATTATATTAGTTAATACCGTCACCAATATCATCAGAAAAGTTTTTAAGTTTTGGGACGCTGTCAACTGTCAAGCTCATGGTGGCAGACACAGGCTTTCAAAAATTTTTTAAATCTGGCCATTAAAGACACTTTTAATTCTTAAGTGAAACTGTGTGTTTGTTGAAGAATTCCGTAACTGCTAAGTTTGGGGCCACTGCCTTGATTTATGCTAAGACACAGTTTTACCCACCAGTGCTTTTGTAATATCAGTGCAAATGTCAATACAGTGAGAAAGGCAAATAAGGCCCTACTATTAATTATGAATGTAGTCTCAACCCACAGACCCCAGTAAAGAGTCTCAGGGACCCTGAAATGGTCCCTTTGAGCACCACTGCTCTACAGGTAGCCTAATCCTTTAAACCATATTTTCAATCCAGCTCTAACCTCGGGGGGGGGGGGGGGAATATTTAAATCTAGAGATGCCTCTAGGCCAGGAAAAAGGTAATGTAGCCCTGATGGTTTTCCTTGGTCCCTTTGTTGTTCCCAATTAAGGGTAAATTTTCATCTGTACTTCTCTTAGAGAAGGGCATTAACTGCTTAACAAAGACAGGAGGGGGTGGGGATTATTGAAAAAAAGGGAAGGAGTCAGATGTTACCGCCAATTACAGATCAAAGAGAGAGAACTTACCTCTGCAGTAATGAAGTAAGGAAGAAAGGCTCCAGTGGAAGAGAGGAGACGGTGGTGCATCTGTTCCATGGAAAAGAACACATCTGTTTGCTTGTGGGGGGCAGAGGATGGTGGGGGGAGGTTTTTTTCTTTCCTGGGATTCCTCTACTCCCTCGAGCACTCACATTCACTTCTCTTTGCTTGAGTGTGTTGATGAAAAGCTTAGGAACTAACTAGAGACCCACTCCCTGCCCTTCCACAAATAAGGTCAAGCTAAACCAGGGAAATGGTGACACCCCACCATTTGACTCTCAGATCATCAAAGGTCTTGGAGAACAGTCAGGGTGGGGCCAGGAGGTGCTGGGGAAATGCACGAATGCTCGATCCCACCCATTGCCTGCCCTGTCCCAAGATCTTTGGAGGGCCATTTGGCTACCTGTGTTAAAGCTTGTAAACTATGGCTCTTTGATCCAGCAGTTCCGCTTCTAAGAGCTTATCCTCAACAGTCAGATGTGCACAAAGATGCATCTCTAAGGACATTCATCAGGTCTTTCTAGTAGGGTGGGAAATTGCCTGAAAGAAAAACAGTAACAACAACAATAACCAATAATAATTGGTTAACTAAACAATAATAATAATTGGTTAACTAATAATAATTGGTTAATAATAATAATAATAATTGGTTAACTAAACAATAATAATTGGTTAACTAAAGAATAATAATAATTGGTTAACTAATAATAATTGGTTAATAATAATAATAATAATTGGTTAACTAAA